CCAGAAAAAGAGAGTACAATGAAAAAAGGGGGGGGGGGGGTGGGGGGGATTATTTGTCCTCCAAAGAGAGGAGAGATGAGACAGAGAGAGCAGATTAGAGAGTAAAAATTTTCCGAAAGGCGGATTTTGTTCCCCGGAAGGGGGCCGGCCCGGAGGGAGGGGGGCCGGCCCCCCGGCCCCCCGGAAAATCGCTGGCTCCCGCTGCCCCCTTGCGGACCGGAACGCGCCCGGGCGCGCACAGCCGGGTCCTCCTTCCCCTCTCGCAGGCAGCCCGAGCCTTTTCTCCAAAGGAAGACAACACTTTGAAAATTCTTTCAATGGATTTTTTTTACTTGAAAGACCGTACTAGGGGAAAATGATCCTTCTGTTAGTTACATTTTCTCTAATAGCACACGCGCACCCCCTCGTTTTGGGATGGATCCCCTAGGCAGGCTCAGGCGGCGCGAGCGGCTCAGAGTGACAAAAGCGCCGCCGCCGCCCCCGGGGGTGGGAGCCCCGTCCGCCCGCCCGCCCGCCCCTCTACTCGGGAGAGCGTAAAAGTTTGTCTCAGCTCCAGCATCCCGAGCCTCAACACGCCCTCAGATAAAGGTGGGAGTAAATGGCCCCGCTGTATTGACCGAGGTAGGGCTTTTTTTTTTTTTTTTTTTTAAATACTCGTTCTCACTTTAAATTCCACCAGGGAGGGGTTTGGGAAGCGCTGCGCTTTGGGGGTGCGTTTGGCGCTTCCCCGTCTCTCCAACCTCTGAGTCGCGAGTTGGCGGTCGCTTCGCGAGGAGCGACGATTTTAAAGAGCAGAATAAAGGCTTTTCTGTGCCTGCCCCGCAGCCCCTCCAGCCTGAATAATGGGAACAGTCAATGCACTCGGCAAGCGGCGGCCCATTGTACGCGGCTGATGGAGAGGAGGCGACTGGGGCCAGCGGGGGCTCCTTGCCCTTGTCCCTCTCCCCAAATAAACGCGCTCACGTCTCCTGGTCAGTTAAAAGGTGAAATGAACACGACAAAAAAAAAAAAAAAAGGAGAGAACAAGAACCAGCGTTCTATACATGCATTCTAAATGTTACTCTCCATCCAGTGCAGAGACACGCAGCCGAGGGCAGGCAGAGAGGGAGACAGAGAGAAAAGGAATGAGGACGAGGAGGGAGACGGAGCGAGTGGAAGCGGAGGCGAGAGCGAGCGCCAGGGAGTGGAAGGTCCGCTGGCCGCCGGTGCGCAGGCCCCAGCCGCCCCCGCACCCTGGACCGAGAGCCGCGGGCACCGGAAGCGAGACTCTGCCAAGTCCTGCCGCACCAGGCAAGTAACGCAATGACTGTGGTTTCTTTTGAACTCGGGGTCGACGACGCGGGCAGGCCAGGAGGCAGCCTGGGCTCCATGGCCTCTGTCGGCCGGGGCCGGAGTCCAGGGAGCCAGGCGGGACGCGAGAACTTTCCGCGGGGCCTCCTCCTCCGGGGCGCGGAGGCAGGGAGAGCGCCG